CTGTCGGATCTGACTGCGTATTTCCCGTTGGTCGCATATCGGTACCCTATATGGGCGGATGGTGACGACTTTGTCGGAGTTGGTGGCGATTCTTACTGGGGGAACCTTTAGGCATGGGACCGCGAATTTGTTCCGGGAGAACACGTGTTGGTATTGGCGCAATAGCGCCGGGAATTGAGGTGGATACGGTGGCTGCGGTTGATTGTCTATGGGGATCCCTGGGAGGTGTTCTGGTGATGTTGGGTGGTGTGTGTGGTACATGGAATGGTGTGTGGAATGGGGATGTTTGGGTGTATGGTGAAGGTGGTCCGTTTGGACCTTGGTGGGGTGTGAGAGGTTGGCATTGGGTGGTTGTTCTGGTACCTTGACCCTATAATAAGAGCAGTTGGCTCTAAAAAAGTTCTTTGATTGGACATGGTGCGGTGGTTGGGTGAGTCCCTGGGTTGTGGACGTGTTGTCCGAAAAATGCGCATATTGGGTATTGTTGGCGGAAGGCGGAAAAATAGTGTGGGCCTTGCATAGGTCCGCCTGGCATTCCCAATAGGTGCACCTTTCGGGCAACACAGCAAAGTGGTAGGTCAGGGGCGACAAAGGTGCATCGAGTTGGTACATAGTGCCATGTGCAAAATCGATTTTTAATTTGAATTTACGGAGGGTATTAATACCAAGTATTCCAAATGGTAGAGGGGCGTCCACCACGTGGAATACTTCGTTTTGGGTTATGGCATGAATGGATAGGGGGAAGGTAATCTGGCCTATTGTTGGCACGTGGCCATCTATTGTCTGTAAATTTACTATTTTTTTAGTTATTAAATTTAGGTCAGGGAAATTATTCTTTAATTTTTTATATATGGCACATGACACTAGGTTAACGGACGCACCCGTGTCTATCAGGAATGGTAGGGACAGTCCATGGGAGATTGGCAATCTAATTGTCAGGTTGATGAAAGGCCTGGTCAGTAGGCCTACCTGCTGGCTGCTGGTCTGGGGCTCCCTTGGTTATCCCAGTGGCTTGTGCGCGTGACGCTTGGTGATGGGGCTGGGCTCGCGGCCGTTGTTCCGCTAGTTGCGCGGAGCGCGCTGCTCGTGCGTCTCCGGAGGCACGGGGCAACTGCGGGGCTTGTCTGAGACGACACTCAGAGTGCCAGTGTAGTCCACCACAAAAACGGCAGTCTGTTGGCGGGGTCGACCTGGTTGGCACTGTTCTTGGACTAGGTCGCACCGGTGCGTAGGGACCCAGCAGGGGTGGTGCGTGCTCGTCTGGGTGCCTTGGAGATGGTGCGCCGCTGCCGCGGATCCGCTGCACCAGCCGGAACCATGCACCTAGGTTCTCTGGCGGCACAATGCGGACGAGGCGCTGGTCGGAGGGTGGCAGCCCCTCGGTGAGCGTCTCCAAGATGACCTCTTGTGGGAGGCCCAGTTGTAGACCCAGCGCGGTCTTATTCCGATAGTATTCTTCCAGGTTGGGCTGTCCGGCCAGCTTCATGGAGAAGTATTGGGCATACGTGGCCTCATTGGTCTCCGGATAGAGATCCAGGAAGGTCTGTCTCACCTGGATGTAATGTTGGGTCTCCATCCGAAGCCTCCTGAAGTGTTCTAGCGGTTTGTTGTTCAGGTAACGGGGTAGGCGGAGCACTTTTTCCGTGTTGGTGAGACCATCCCAGTCTGTTTTCTGGTCATATGTTCGAAAGAACTGTGCGGCTGGGTAGGTCCCGCCGAAGCTCTGGACTTCTATCTCCGTCCGATGGGTCACGCGGTCGCTGGTGGTCTGAAGGGCAGATAAACACGCCGCAAGGCGTGCCAAGACGGCCGGCAACTCTGCCGACGGAGGGGGGGGTTCTATTTTGGGAGAACTTACGGCGGGGTTGTTTTCTCCCTCTGCGGTGTATTCCTCCGCGTCTTGCGTTTCGTTTCTCTCGTCCATCCTGTCGACTCTCTGTGATATAAGGGAAAAAGGATCCTGAGAATCTTATCGACTCTCTATAATATAAAAAAATGCTTGCCGACTTCGCTGTGATACAGTGCTTTGTCCTGAGAATCCTCGGGAGTGGATTGGGATTTTTGTATTGTTTGGGCAGTCGTTATCAATGGCGGTGGATGAAAAAAATCGGCACACTATATCGATTAATGAATCACAAAACACTTCGGAATATTAATCATTGGCGGCTCGGGAGAGGAGATGGAAGGATTTTCGCGATTAAATTGGATTGAGATGACTCACATCTTGGACCTCGAGGCACTACTTTTAGAAGAAGCACACACACGTCTTGACACACTCGTTACCGACCGAAAACTGTCGTTGCCCCGCCCCCTGGCTTGGGTCATGTGGGACCCTGCTTGACCTTTGATTGGCCCCTGTCTCTGTCGGCCATGATGGTAAATTTGGTCGGGAAGACGCTTGGCCTAACATCCGAAAGTCTCAGGACATTCAACTCTGGAATATGAGGGCCTCTTTGTTCTAAGTGACCTAGATACACGACTTGGATCTGTCGTTCTTTTCTCTTCTACTTCTTCCATCTCCCACGTCCTTTGACTGCCATCTTTATTATAATCCATACAGAATACATTATATCCAACATGGTACATAATTGTTTATTAGACAATATTCTTTATAATATTACATATATTTAGAGATATACTACATGATCTTAGCCAAAAGGCTAGAATAATATTTTATATATAGAGATGACCTGGCTTTTTGTGTCTTCTGCTCGAGTGGATGTTTCGCTAGTAGATTTTGTTCCTGGCTACTAAAAATTAGTATCTTGCTTCGCCTGTGGTCTGCTTTAGTGAATATTCCCCTAAAGAATTTTGATTATGTCAATCAAGCATGATACAGCAATATTGTCATAATCATTTCTGACTAAAAAAAATATTGTTACTCAGTACTTGGTTAATTATGATTTTTCTTGGTTAAAGTGCGACAAAAAACTATTCCAGATTTAACTCTCTGTCCTGTTCAAATTACAGCGAGATTAGTTACATATTGAGGGCGTGCATAGCCGACAAACATATATGTTCCCGGCTTCTCTCGATTTTTACCCGAGTAAAGGTTTGCCTAACAAACTTTTGTTAAAACGATTCTAGCAAACATCCATTCCCTACTGAATCTATACTTGTCCATATTCTCGATAATTTGAAAATTTTCCCGGTCCCTTGAAAAATACTCGATAATTAGAAAAAAATCAGTATTAATTGGTCCACTCGTTATTTTGAAGTTGAAGGAATAGTATCTTGCTAAAAACGAAGATTTGAAAATAGCTGTATTTAGAGAGTTTACCCGGCTTCGCCCGGTTTTTCCAAGTAAAGGTTTGCCAAACGAACTTTTGTTAGAAATATTCTAGAAAACATACAATTCGCCTATATATTGATTTATAAACGTATATAAATATTGTTAAATACGTTTAAATATATTTTTGAAATACATAATTTTTTGAAAACATTTATTATATTTCCAATAAGATATTGTCACTTTTGTGAATTTCATAATTAATTATTTCTTTTTTTATCAATGAATTGCCAACATTGTTGTATTGTGCTGTAAAAACAATATCATACGCAATATATATATATATGTAAATAGTTTATATAAACAAACGATAATAAACAACAACAACAATGTAATTTGCATTTTTACCATTATAAAACAACAACAAATTAAATTAACAATGTAAAAATATATTTTAACATCACATTTTAACATTTAACACAAAAACGTTACAATATTTTCTTTAAATATATATTAATATTAAAATGCCAAGTTTTTTTACGTCATTGGAATATTATATTACTAAATTCACAAATTAAAAATATTATACTTTGTAAACATTTTAAGCATTGTTACAATTTATAAATATAATTTCACCAGATACCGCGAGAGGCGCTGCTTGCGAGTGGAAGTAGAAAATTTGCAAATAAAATTGCAAAGGATATTTATTTCAAACCAAATTCAAACCAGAAACCTTCCCAGTAGTATAGTAAATAACATCCTAAAGTTTTACGGCGATTGGATAATCTTACCTTTTAAAAACACTCATCGTGTAAAAAAACTAACATTCATCGTGTAAACAAACCACGTCTAAATCATTAACCAATCAAATTCATTTTTCGTCGCGACCAGTGCGGCACCAAGCGGTAAAAGGCTGGAACTAACGCCTTTTGGTTTTACATTTAACAAGAAAATCACATTAACCTTTTTAGTTTTTGAATAGCCTATATGTTAAAAGAAATCTTCAGCTACCTACCTGCGAAATTTCATAAAGATTTATTCTGTAGATTTTGCGCAACGCGAAAACAAACATCGATTTTGGATTTCATTTTTATAGATATAAGGATTTAGTACAAGGAAAAAAAATCTTCGATAAGAAAAGTCGAATTATCGATAGATTGCTTATTTCCTTTGCCTGAATATGATTTATATTTGAGAAAATATATATTTAAATATATAATTTGTCTAATAATTTCGAAAAGAAGGTTCAAATATCTAATAAAAGCATAATTTAGGATTAATTTGTTTATTTTATTACATATATAAAATGTGGAAGATCTTTTTAATATTCAATATTTCACTGATTCAAATGATATGATTATTATATTGTTTGAAGAGGTTTCAAAGCCTGAAAAAATAATTTGAAAAAAAAAATATATTATAAATTATTTAAAAGGTTTAATGGAGTTGCCAGCAAATAGAAAAATATACATTTTTTGGCTTTAAATGCATACAAAAAAATTTTAAAATTTGTTTCTACACAAAGTTCGCTACATTTCTAATTGGTAATTCGAGAAAGACTTTTTCTATATATTTTAAGCATTTCTTATAAGCTCTCAATTGAACTTACGATATATAGTTGTAAACGGCATTTCAAAATTATCCCGCAAGTGTTTCTTTTGAACGAAAAATCGAAATTTATTTTATGGATATATAACGATTTTTTCTAACCTTAGGGATGAAGTATGAATGGATGGATTGCGAAGAGTAATCATAAACGGAAAAATAAAATGTCCAGGGATGGGAATCGAACCCATAATGTTCCACTTACTGGCCTGATGCCATGTCCACTAGGCTACCCTGGATGTCATTTTCCAATCATAAACCGCATTATATTGTATTATATATATAGTTGTTGGATAAAAAATATCAATAAACATTTTAAAAAATAAACCCACTTTTTAACTCGTGAGGGTATGCCTTGCAAGAGGGCTTACTAACACCTTGAAATAAGGGTTTTATATTTGAAGTTATAATTTCGTTTATTTTGGATAGGATCTGATATCATTTTAAGAATTTCACTTTAGACCTTTGGATATATTTTTATATAAGGAATACATGCGGCGATCTTACAATTGGAAAAATATCAAACACTATACATACTTTTTTTAAATAGAGCAATCCATAAATAAATCTTTAATCAAAAAGGCATATATTGGATTAGAATATAATTTATTTTACCAATATTTTAGTTGGCTGAACGCCAACCTTTATCAATGTATCATAACATATTAATGTGTGTCAACAACAAACTCAGCGCCACATAACGTCAACAGAATTAAGTTTTTAAAATAATTTTGCTTATATTCAATAGGGAGAAAAAAATTGATACATATTATGTGTCGCTGAGTTTGTTGACACACATTAATATGTTATAATACCTTGATAAAGGTTGGTGTTTAACCAACTGAAATAATGTTAAAATAAATTATGTTTTAATATAATATATGCCTTTTTAATCAAACTATACATACTCTACGAAATTATAACTTTAAAGACGTAAAACTGTGTAAATTCGGGATACTCAAATTTCTTATACATTTAATATAGATCTTCTAGCCTGTGAAATTACTAGAGATATAGTATATAATTTTCTTAAAAGAAACTCATCACTGAATGGTTCAATTATTTTTCAAAATTATAACAAAATATTATTTTATTGAGAATTTCAAAATATATTTGTTTATTTTGAGTGAATATCGTGATTATTGTTCCTAAATTGTCCTAAAGAAACATTTGGTGCCTTAGATACATTGAAGAAGATGGTGAGGGAAAATGCTATTATCTTTTCACTTAGTACCTGAATGTCTTACCAATTATACTGATTCATTTATGAGACAAGCCAATTCTTTACTTCTTTGTTGCCTCTCTTTTCTATTGCCAATTAGATAAAATATCTTCTAAAATGAATTGAGATGATCGAAAATTGCAATATGTAAATGCCATGGCATCTTCCCGGTAAGCGGAACACTGTGGGTTCGATTCCCATCCCTGGACACTTTATTTTTCCGTTTATCATTGCTTTTCACAATTCATTCGTTCATACTTCATTCCTAAAAGTTAGAAATAATCGTTATCTCTCCTTGAAATAAATTTCGATTTTTCGTTCAAAAGAAACACATGCGGGATAATTTTCAAATGTCGATGTAAATATTATCATAGATATATATTTGTAAATAGGATAATAATTGCAATTATATAAGATAAAGATAGAGGTTGACTGGCCAGCATTCTTTGTTTTAAACATTAAAGAAACTTCGGCCTAGTAAATAATTTTATTATTTTGACGTTTCGACAAAATTATTCAGTTCTTGTCAGGAGCAGATACAAATTAATAATTTAGCAAGGCGTTTAAAATAATAATTAAAATTAAATAAATTTTAAGGCTTTGCCAAATTCTTTATTATTATTATTTTTTGCCCCTGACGAGAACAAAAGATTCTTGTTGAAACATCGAAATAATAAAAATAATTACCTATCAAAGTATCTTTGAATTTAAGAGCTATGTAATAATATAGATGTAATATAAAGTGAAAAAATAAAGATTTTAAAATAGATCTAAAGGTTAAAAACGGAGTGTTTTCAGGTGTAAGCTTTTCATATCCATCTAAATATTATTAAATTCAAAAATAAATTCAATAAATGACTAAATTTAACAAATTATTAATATAATTACTGAGCTACCCACCCACCTAAATGATATTGTTTATAAAATGAAAGAATATTAAGGGTTTTTTCAAATATATATATAGTAAGTTGACTTGTATGCATAACATTCATATCTATAATATTTGAGGATTAAGAAGAGATTTTATCAAATTATCTGATTTAAATATGTTGTAATGGTTGATACGGTACAATTCTTAGATTCAAACTGTTAATATATTCTGTTTTTGAAATTTAGAAGTTAATCCTACCTCTTTGTAAAGTGTAGATTTAATTGATTTTCTATGTTTTATATCACCTTTAGCTTTATGTGAGTTCTTTTTTTCAATCAAGACTATGAGTGATACAGAATCAATGCCAAAATGGTAAAAAACAAGACTTACCTCATGTAGACCTTTATATGGAGACCTTGTTGAGTTGGAGATCGTATATTGTCTGGGGGTATAACAGCCTGATACATACAAGTCCATACCTACTTCTTGATATATCAAATAAGGTAGTGGACTCTAATTTGAACGATAAAATTACATTTTAATTATATAATTTATTCAAGATAATATTCTAAGTAACGTTCAGAAAGATATAGTTAGATATTCAGTAGATATGTTCTATTATTCTGTATTCCTTTAGCGATTTAAAACTTGTCTTTATTGTTTTAATGACATCCCTATATATATCAATATAGCTTTTCTTCAGAATTTACCTCGACATATCTACATTGAAACATGTTGTAACACTGAGAATAAAATCAATAATATGAACATAATTATGGATAAAAATTGGACGATTGAAAATTTCGATGATTATCGCACTATATTATCGAAATAATAATCAAAATATAATAAGCGATCGCTAAAATATTTGTTAAAACAAACTGTTTTCATCCACAATATACTTTTTCGTTATTATCTATACTAAACATGGTACAGGCTATGACAATTATGGTGGGTTGTAGTTAGCGATTGCCATTACTGAAGGTGAGCCACATGTTTACACATGTTGAAAGCAATTCGACTTCGGCACTTTCAAATGTGTCAGAACTTCTTTTAGTTACTTGCATTCACCAGTTTAGTTGGACATAGAAAATCATCGGGGGCCATCAGAACTCTTTTTTTTTTCCATTCAGAATAAAAGTGTCTTATGCGGGTTTGATTCCAGGTCGTAGCAGTCAGGATGCGCTGTATTTACTTTACATACATTTACCACCAAATTTCATACATATGCATATTTGGTCGAAACGCTTTGTATACATACTTCTTAATAAATAGGACAATTCATTAATATCGTTTATTTCATAATTTGTCTAACCCGTTTTATCTATAAATAAAGAACACCAAACAAGAATGCGTGTTAGGCTGTCGTACTGTTTCTCAAAGACGAAAATTGAGGTCCCAGAGACTTATTGCGTAATGAAAAAATGGGTATTAAAGGCCAAGTTTGCGTAATTGTTCATTTGATATAATGGAAGAAAATATAAAAAAAGGTCAGGTGTTGAAATTAAAAACAGAAAAGTCGTATCCTGACCGCTGACATGAGACGACAATTAAAGAGCCCCATCTAGTGGGACCAGGGCCAAAAGCCTGAAACGCGTATGTAGTTAGTTTTTTAATTTTATTTATCAATAAAATGGGATTTACCAAATATCACGGAACAAATAAACAGATTCGAATCAACGTTTAGTTGATTTTTGTTCCACTAGATGGCTCTCTTTCATTTAAAATGCTTATGTGGTGACCAAGATTTTAATAACAGTAGCTAGCCTTTTTTTCTATTCTGTAAAATTATTTTCTCACATATATTCATATTGAGGAATATTATTTTTTCATAATTGAGATATGTATATGCTTTTTCTGAGGTTAGAATGCATAATTCTAAACTATTATAGACGCGTATGATTCTATTTAAAAATTAAACAATTTCTACTGCCCTTAGTGGAAATGGAAAATTAATGGGAGGGCCTGGTTCATCAGTGTTTAACACACCCATTAAATTTTCCATTGGGGTAAGGGCAGTATAAAATTGTTTAAATTTTAAAAAGTATCATACGTGTCTATAATAGTTTCAATGTTTCATAACTAATGCATCATAAAAAATGCATAATGTTAATAGAAATTTCAAAAAAGATCATGAGAGTTCTCAATAAAAGTACTTTATTTGCCTGTATTTATAAAGAAAAGATAAGTTTGAACATTACCGGTTTAAAAAATATGTTTTAGCGTCTTTCTACTTAATCCTATCATGGCTTTTAGGTAATCCGCCATTTCTATCTCGGATTATCTTCAAAACTCATATTGAAAAGATTTATTCTACATTCTTTCCTTCTATCGGGGGTTACTCTATTTTAGTTAGTTTCTAAAATATATTCCTTTTTCGAATATAAAAAAGTTTATTTTCTTCTTTTTTTCTTATAATAAATGTTTTAGCACAAACTCCATTATCTGTTTATAGGGCAAAACCATTTTCATCAAGAATAGCAGTTAGAACTAATGATGAGTTGAGGCCAAAACTAAATGACTTAGAAACTTCTGAGTAGACAAGAACTAAAGGAGAAAAATTACAAATTTGACAGTGTGAAAGATTTTCTATAAACATCAACTACCTACTGTTTATGGTATTTATTTGTTAAATGCCAGAGGGAGAGAGATTTTGGTTCAAGAAATATTCAATATTGAAAATGCCTTTTACGCAAAAAGCATTAAATCGAATTTTTATTAAAATATATAAATATAATTTCATTTTAATCGAAACCGAAACATACAAGTATATCAAACTTTACATAAATAGTTATAAGGATTTAAACGCAAAATTGATTTTCTATCTTGGTGTTTTCTGTCAAAATGAATATTGTATAGATTTTATATTAAATACTACTACATTTAAAAATATATATATATTTATATAAATATACTGCAAAAATGAAAAGGATTTCAGCTTTTACCATTGAACAAATCAGATTCATATGAACAAAAATAGAAGCAGAGGACGTTCAAATGAATTTAGAAATAATTGTGATTTTTAATATGGAGCAACCGATTAATAAGTTACTTATATATAATGTTATAATATAACACATTGTAAATATCTCAACTTGATCAACACACTCTCTCCACAATACTAATTATTACAGATAACTTCATTA